CACACACTTTTAAACAAGAAAATAAAAACTAATACAAACTAATATAAAGTAAGGAAGAAAAAAGAAAAAGAAAAAAAAAGCCAAAAGTGCAAGAAAAGAAAAGAAAGTTGAAGAAAGATAGAAAAGAAAGAAAAAAGATATAAAGAAGTGGCTTCCAATACTCTTCACACCAAGTATAAGTACAAATATATTTTAACCTCTCTAAAGTTATATCATATTATTCTTCTTTCTATAATATGTCCTAATCATCAAAACCATAAATCACAAATTCATTTTTTTCATTTTTACACAAAAAGTCCATAAGAGGCTTCCAGTCACCAATATATGTAGATAATGTCTTTTCTGTAATCAAAGAAGTCATTTATCCATTTCAGCAAAATCTATCAACTTCACCAACCATTCCTCCATTGTGGGTAGTTGTCAGGCCCAGCCCAAGAACAAAGGTGAAACCGTCCAGTCGAGTAAAATTCCTTTATTTGCTTACACCTTATAGACAGAATCTTGCTAAACTAAATCTATACTATAGTAACTAGTGAATATACCCTGTGAGATTCTAGGGAGTGGCTATTCTGAACCTCTTTCGCTTCTCACACTCCCCCTGCAAACTGTATTGTCTCTTGTCTCCTTTCCCCTCCTGGAATACACCCCCTCCCTCCTGATAGCTTTGATCTCCCACATCACTCTCCTCCTTGTAGATACATTCCATTACAGTAGTGTCAAAACTTTCCATCTCTGTGCATATAGTAATCTTGATGCAGTAATCATATATTGAAATAATCTTCCATGGCTTTTTTCTAACTGTTTATCCATTATACCTAAAAGGAAAAGTTCTGGCTTCAACTGAACATTAATCTTTAAAATCCTCTGTATCAAAGTATGTATTTGAATCCAACATTTTTTAGCTGTTTTACATCTCCACCAAGCATGATAAAACATCCCTTCATGTTGTTCACATTTCCAACATACATTTGAAGTGCTTTCATACATTCTAGCTAATTTCTCTGGTGTCATATACCAATGATACATCCTTTATAAAAATTGTCTTTGAGATCATAATACAATGTAAACTTCAACTCTTTTAACCACATATTTTCCCATTGATCCATCTGTACATTATAACCAAAATTGTTAGCCCACTTTATCATACATTCTTTAACCTGTTCTTCCTCTTTATTTCCATTTCTTTGATTGTTAACATAGAAAGCTGGCATTGTAAAAGTTAAATTTGCTATGAGACATTTTTCCTTCCTGGAGACCTCTGAATTCCTTTTTCCTTTTTATTTCCATGCAGCCACCCACTCCCACTAGCCTGACTGAACTCTTGGCTAACATGGAATTGCATCAGCCAAAGGGGAGACTGGCCCACTTGAAACTGATGCAGAGAGGGGGTGTTCCCTCAGGCTTGGCGTAGCAGTCTCTTCATTACTGTTCCATCCTTTGCCATAGTTCCCTTCATCAGCAACTTTGTTTAGAGGGCCACCACATTCTGGGGCCCAATGCAGCTGAACATGATGCGATCCCCCTTAAACTAGACCTGCACAACTGGAAAAAAAAGATGTTGCTGGGGCCTATTTTTAAAGGCATTTAAATTCTGCATCATGGCAACAATCATCCAGAGTGAAGACCTAATTAACTGTACTGATTACATGTTGCATAGCAACTAGGTGGAGCCAAGGAAGCATCATTTGACCTGGGCTTTTCTTGGTTCATAAATGGTACATATAGAGTGCACTTTTGCTTTGGATCTGTTTTGCTACACCTCCAGAGGACTGTTAAAACTGACTTCTTGCTTTGAATCTATGGCTCCTATTTGCTTTTGAATCAAGCGATTAGCCAAGTTCTTAAACTCACTGAATTCAGCTTGCATGCTTATTCAGGCAGTCTACTAATAACTCCCTTCTGCAATCATCCTGAGAAAGTTTCAAACTTTTCAATGAAAGTCTGGAATCTGGGCCCAGCACATCAGGCAGATAGGAGTTGTCCCTGTGAGTATAAGATCTGTTGCTCCAGATTTTGAACAGAAAGTCTCTGAAGAACCTCTAGGCCAATGTTTCTCAATCTTAGCAACTTGAAGATGCATGGATTTCAAAATTAGCTAGTGTTGAAAATAATACCAACACCTTGTAAGTTCCTGAGCTGGGCTTCCTGGCATTATGTTGCCTTATGACAACATTTTGGACTTACACTTGACATGTATTCTAATCTCCTTTGGTATGGGGGACCCTTGTTGTGGTTTGCAGTTTTGCTCTGTTCCCTGGCTGCTGCTGATTGAATAAGAGAAAGCTATAACCTAGCAGGCCTCATGAGCCCTTCAGATGAGATAGGGTGGAAGCAGGGAATTATGGGAGTAGTATGTAGGGAAAAGAAGCACATCTAGCATTGCCATGTAATTTTTATGCAATTGACTATGATATAATCAAAACCTTTCTGGAGATATATTACATCCTTCAACACTTCACGCTGATGGGATGAAATATGACAGATGAGATGGGTACCTCGGGAAAACATAAGATAACAAATGACCCTGTCATTTTGTAAACACAGTACAGGATTTAATGCTCCCAACTACTCTAAGATGCTAAATTAAAGCTATAAGATCATGTGACATCACTGAAAAGATATTAGCATTATAAGCCTGCATTGATCTGATCTGAGTTGAGTTGAGAATCAGATCACTTATCCCAGTTAGATAGTCTCAGCTTTGTATATTTGCACTGATTTTATGTGATGACTGACACCAGATTAAATCCAAATATTTTGCCTTAATTATGTGTAATAACCACCAAAATTTTGACATCATGACAGTTTCTGCAACCTGATGCCATACATGAAAGACCTAACAATGGTGTCTTAATTTAATATGGTATCCCCATTAAGTTGCAGAAAGTATATAATTTTCATTAATTCACATGCAAGCTTCAATGACTAATATCTGTCAAGTGTAGGAAAATTACAGTGGTTGCCTGAGAAGAAAATAATGGCAGAGATTATTGCGATAAATATATTGTAATGTGATATGCTTGTCCTGTCTGACAAAAAGACAGCTATGCTTTTAATAATGTGTTTGATTTTTATCTCTCTTTTTTGTGTGAGGTGAAGCTCTTCTGCCTTCAAAAACTGCATGACAGGGTACGTTGCAATACCATGCTAATGCCATTTACTGCATATGATTAAGAAGCAACCTATTATTTAAGCAAAGTCAGTTAATGTAGTAATGAATATATATTTTCAGGAAAATATAGCTATAGATACTTTTGCATTTATATTTTGTATGTGTATGTAGTTTAAGTATTTTTCATATTTTTAAAAAATAATCCTGATGTTAACAATTAAAGCAAGAACTCATTTCTCATCTCCCCCAAAAGCATGGGCTAATTTTAATTAATCAGATAAAAGCAAGATGGACAATTACTAGACTTTAAAACATGTCTATAAAATAAGGAGTGATGGGGCATTTGCAACTGCAAGGTCATTTTCAAAGCCAGTGATAGTGTTTCAAAAACATGTTGAGTGTTTTATAGTTGAGGCCCTGTGCTAATGGAAGTTAGTGCAGAGGGATATTCCCCCTTGCTTCTGTTTTACCACAGGTGTATGTATAGTTTCCTTCCTTCCTTGGCCATCCAATTCCATTTGGTATGGCAATGCTGGCCATGAGCAATCAGTAAGAGTAGGTTTCCTGACCAGTCTTTTCAATAGCTTCCCTCCTTTGTTTTTAGTACTGATGTAGTTATAAATGGGGGAGATTATACATGGTCTTCTAATTAGCAACTAGTGATCAAACGAACATGGAAAAGCATGGCTGGATGAGATGAAGTCTGCTGAGCAAAATGTCAGGAAGCTTGCAGAGATCAGAGACCAACGATTAATCAAGGCAGGCTATCAGGCAATGCAAAGGTGGGGTCAGCATCACAGCAGAATCCCTGTCTCTGCTGGAGCATGGACCACTGTGTGAGACAGGCCAGAAGCAAGCATCTTGAAGCCTTCTGCTGGCATTACTTTGAATTTCTCCTAAAATACAAACTAACAACATCAGAGTGCCAGGTTGCTTTTTCCTCCCAAATGCCTAACATTCCTTTGCCCAACAGAAACTCCTTGGAGGTTTTCTTTTCACTTCAATAAGAAACAGGCAGTGAGTGGGGGCCTTGGTAATGATAAGCACCAGAAGCTAGGCTGAGAAATTTAAAGGTGGATAATTAAATCTTAGAGGTAATTAAATCTTCTTAGTGTGAGTATGATCTGGGAGGCTCCATGTTCCAATCTCTCCTTGATAATAACCTCAGTCATTGCCCTTAGACAAACCACCATCCATTCAGAGCAACACTGCTAGGCTCCTGCCCATGCTGGATGGAGCTCTGGGCATATTCATTTTAGGGAACAGGAAAATATACGCTGCAGATGCTCGTGCATGATTACACAGAGAGGATTACTGAGATAATCTTTGTGAGGGTTATATCAAAGAGTGCTATGCTAATGTTTTAATAATATTCCACTGCAGGTAGTATTTAGAATTAAGAAGTACATTTTTCTTGTCTGGCCATCATATTTCTTGTTCCTATAGATAGAACTACTTGCAAGGGAATATTTTCCTTCCTTTAGCTTATTCTTCAATAAATCCAAAAGATCCAGTTGTTAGCTCATTGACTTTTACCTTGCCCTACTACATAACCAAATGTACTTAAATGGGCAAGTACATTGTGTTAGAAAGTGGGGCTTAAATCAGATATAAAAATATATTCCTTACCAATTATCAATTTCAATAGATTGTGTGTGCTACTAAAAATCATGTCCTGTTTGATTATAACATAAACATTAACATGACAGAATTTTAAGTTGGTTTGGAGCGAAACAACAAACCAACCAACCATCAACTTTTGTAATTCAGAATAAAATCACAGCAGCAATCAAAATAAAAACATGATGGGTTTCCAGAGTAAAAATCACTCTTTCTGCTTGAATATCATGTTCATGAAAGTGATGTTGTGATAAATTAAATGTCACAATGTCGGCAATGGGGACGAGGATGGGATTTTGCCCAGCTCTTCTATAGATCTGGATCTTCTACATCAATTCTTCCTGCTAACATAATTGATCTTGTATTTCCTGCATAACGTTTTATATTGCAACAGCATCTCATGCCATATGGCATGTGTAGACTGAGAAATTATAAACTGAAAAGTGATAAGTTGATATCATCTTGCTTGGTCTTCATGCTTAGAAAAATAACTCTTTGGGTTAGCAGAACTCTCTTCATTTTTGTTGCATTGCCAGGAAAAAATAGAAGAAGCAGGCAATACCTGGGGATATAAACAACCACATTCCCAATAAAGGTCATGGAGTGAGTAAGCAAGCATTTATTTTGGATTCAAGTAAAAAGAGAATACCTCAGTTCTTCAGACTGTAAGTCTGATGGAAGAAGAATGACTACCTTGAATTGGGAGATAAAAACGATCACCTGCTCTCTCTCTGTCTCTCTCTCTCTCTCTGTTGTCACCGCCCATCTCGTTGAAAGGACTCTGGGCAGTTTACAAAACAGTTAAAAATAATTAAAAGTACAGTATACAATAATCTTAAATAAATAGAAAATAAGATCCAAGGATAGATGTTAAAATTGGCAGTCAAGGTGCCAGCCACCCCAGGATTGGGTAAGATTGTTGTCACCCCACGCAAGCTGGCAGAGTCAAGTCTTCAATTCTTTCTGGAAAGCCGGAAGGGTGCGGGCCTGCTGCATCTCCTGGGGGAGAATATTCCATAGGGCGGGGGCAATGGCAGAGAAGGCTCTCCTCCTGGGCCATGCCAGCTGACATTCTCTCACTGATGGAGTCTGCAACATGCCCTGTCTGCCTGACTGGGTGGGACAAGTTGATGTGATGGGGGTGAGACAGTCCCTCAGGTAACCTGGACCCATGCCATGTCGGGCTTTAAAGGTGATAACCAACACTTTGAATTGAACCCGGAAGGAGACTGGGACCCATTGCAGCTCACGCAGTAAAGGTGTTATATGTGCCATTCTTGGGGCACCCAAGATTGTCCGTGCGGCTGCATTTTGAACCAGCTGTAGCTTCCGGATATTCTTCAAGGGTAGCCCCATGTAGAGCACATTGCAATAGTCTAACCAAGAGATGACCAGGCCGTGAGTGACTGATCAGAGGGCCTCCTGATCCAGGAAAGGGCGTAACTGGCAGACCACACGAAGGTGGGCAAAGGCCCTCCTGGCCACGACTACCACCTGCTCCTCGTGCAGGAGTCATGAGTCCAGGAGGACCCTCAGATTACACACCAGGTCCGTCCGGGGCACTGCAACCCCGTCCAAAACCAAGGATGGTAAATCCTTGGATACAGAGGGGCTTCCATCCACAGCCACTCTGCCTTACCAGAGTTCAGCTGAAGCCTCTTGCACCCCATCCAGACCCCCACAGCCTCCAGGCACCACAAAAGTGTGGTCACAGCATCATTCACCTTACCCGGGATGGAGATGTATAACTGGGTATCATCTGCATATTGATGATACCTCGTCCCATGGTGGCGGATGATCTCACCCAGTGGTTTCATGTAGATGTTAAAAAGGAGCAGAGAGAGTACCGAACCCTGGGGCACCCCACAGAGTAGGGGCTGTGGGCTGGATCTCTCACTCCCAATCAACACCAATTGGGATCGACCTTGGAGGAAGGAAGAGAACCAGCAGAAAACTGCGTCGCCCACTCCCAACTCCCTAAGTCAACCGAAAAGGATACCATGGCTGATGGTATCAAAAGCTGCTGAGAGGTCAAGAAGAGCAAGGATGGATGCACACCAATTGGGATCGACCTTGGAGGAAGGAAGAGAACCAGCAGAAAACTGCGTCGCCCACTCCCAACTCCCTAAGTCAACCGAAAAGGATACCATGGCTGATGGTATCAAAAGCTGCTGAGAGGTCAAGAAGAGCAAGGATGGATGCACTACTCCCATCCTGCTCCCACCAGAGATCATCCATGAATGCGACCAATGCTGTTTCCATCCCATATCCAGGCCTGAAACCTGACTGAAAAGGGTCCAGATAATCCGTTTCCTCCAGGATCCTCTGGAGCTGCAATACCACCACATTCTCAACCACCTTCCCTAAAAAGGGGAGGTGGGAGACAGGACAAAAATTGTCTGATATGGTGGGATCCAGTGATGGCTTCTTGAGGAGGGGATGCATCAGTGCCTCTTTAAAGGCAGCTGGAAACACCCCCTCCCTCAAGGATGAATTCACCATTGCCTGGACCCACCCACATGTCACCTCCCAGGAAGTTTTGACTAGCCAGGAAGGGCATGGATCCAGTTGACAGGTGGTGGCACTGACCATCTGGAGGAGCCCATCCATCTCTTCGGGTTCAACAGAATCAAACTGTTCCCAGATAACAGGGTAAGAGCGTACTTTGGGCATCTCTATAGATCATGATGCACACTTGGCATCCAACTGGAACTGGATCCAAGTGATTTTATCCTCCAGATGCCTAGAAAACTCCTCTGTAAATGGGCCACTGGGCCTCCCCTTCCGAAAAGGGATCGAGTGATCTTAAACAGGGCTGCTGGGCGGCATTCTATGGATGCAATAAGAGCAGAGAAATTTTGATGTTTCGCCACTCTTACCGCCACGAGGTAGGCCTTAATAGTAGCTCTAGCTTGTGTTCGGTCGGGTTCGGTTCTTGTTTTCCTCCAGCAGCACTCTAGACATCTCTTAACCCTTTTCAAAATGCTCAACTCCTACGTAAACCATGGGGAGTGTTGGGTTTTATGGGTCAAGAGAGGTTGCAAAGGCATGATTTTGTCCAAGGCCTCAGCCGCTTTCCTATTCCAGGTAGTGGCCAAGGCCTCCACTGGACTGTGCAGCAGACTCTCGGGTACAACCCCCAGCTCCTTTTGGAATCCATTTGGGTCCATTAGTTGCCAGGGGCAGACCAATTGAATGGGTCCTGCCTCCCTGCAGAGGGGGGTAGCATAGGAGAATCTCAAGGCCACCAGGAACTGGGGACAGTTTATCTGCCATATGAAGGGGTTACATGGGCCAATGCATGCTATACATTTTGGGCAGAGTACAAGGCAGTGTTCACTGAGGAACCTTATTGCCACCGATCAATTCTGCAGATGGTGGTGTCTATCTGTTTCCAAGGAGAAACCTTGCAGGCAATGGTAATGAAAAGTATCAGTGCATTGTAGCAGGAACACATCAGCTGATCTCTCACCCCCACATTGGAACAACAAAAACAACAGTGGGACATGTCACCTACTGTAAGCAGTAAGATTTGAGTGGCATTGTACCTTGGCAAAGAAAATAATCTCCCTGGTCTTTCCTTCTCACAAATTAAAAGTTATGTCTAATTAGCGCTGTTTCAAGAGTTTTGTTGTCTGAGGTGAAGCACAAGATGGTGCTCCCTCTGATTCATATGCCAACTGGACTTATAATTGAATTTCTCTTTCACATTGGTGATGAGGTTGTATCTTCCACTGCACAAACTCCAGAGAGAGGTATAGGGCAGGCTCTGCATGAAACATCATCTTTTCCATTGCCTGAGGCAACTTCCTCAGTCAAATGGTAGGGCAGTCCAGGAGCCTCATAATGATCCTCTACACCTCCTTCTCTCAAACAAAATGGTATCTTAATCCATTTCCATCAGTCTGTAAAGAGCAGTTTCCAAACCACTCCTTTATATACATTTGTGCCAAGAGACATCTCAGAATGATTTAAGGGAGGCGATTCTGGGCCACAACTCTATTTTTTGCAATGTTTGAAGCACTAAATGCTGCTGCCTTGCTAAGCCAGTGCTGGTTACAAACCTGATGGGCATCATTACCATCAGCCTGGGTGATAGTAACGGAGTGTGCATCCTATGTCTTGACACAGATGTGCCCATGGTTATTCATCTCATTCACTAACCCCTGGGCACGGAAGGGGATGAAGAGGAAATAAAATACTGTATTTATTTACAGTATTTATAAAAATGTGCTGAAAAGACCTATTATCTCTTGCTGAAACATGCCAGTAAAAGCTTGGCCAGGGCTCTAACTATATGCAAATGGAACACTCCTAGCAGCAAGCAGGCTGAGTGTACGCCCCAATTCTTTGAGCGAAGAAAAACAGAATCCCAATCCCTCCCTCAGCCTGGTGTGGGCTTACAGTATTGTCTACGTAGCAGTTCAAGATGGCTAATTGCAGCAGCCATAGCTTTGTAATGAACTATTTTTCTCTGGTCCCCTTTTTAAAATCTAGACTTGTGAAGTGATGGGGAATTTGTGATCTCCTGCATTTTATCACCTCTGTTAGCCAGGCTGGTATGAAATAAAACTCAACATATCTGGAAGGACATGTCTGTCACTCTTTCCGAAGGCTTTTTTCTAGTTCTTCAGCCTGAAGCTTCAAACCCATTTTTATTCTGATTTTGCTTCTGTCCTCTAGAGGGCACTAGCTTCATAATTGATTGTTGTTACAAGCTCACTAATGATATTATGCATTGGGGGGAGGAAAACCAGCAATTATGTCTAAGCTTCTAGACTTAATTAGCCATGTAACCTGTCTATTTTTTTGTTTCATAGAAGCTGGATGAAATCGCAAGCCAGGTATCCTACACAGCTGAGCAATATGATGTGGCAAACAAGGAATTCGGCCATTAGCTGAAGCAGCATCTCAGAGCCACAGCTAAACCAGGATAGGATGAAACCAAAGATCTATCCCCAACAGCATTTATGACTCATTTGACACATATGAGCACATCCCAGTTTCACCAGGTAGTCCTTAAACTCTTTACATATACAATTCTTTCCCTTCAGTAGTACTGTTTGTGAATGTCCATAATTATGCATGTGTATTTTCTTCCATTTTAGCTAGTGTAATTTGATGAATTTCCAATACCTTGTCATAAAATATCACTACTTACAGCTATTTTCAGTTCATGAAGTACAAGAGCACAGTCCTCCCAGAGTGCACTAAAGTTTGGCAGAAGCACAGTGTCATAGAAACCCAATGGATCATTTCATGGCCAATCGTTTCAACCTCAAGTGAAACCTATGCTTTCTCCACTTAAGCTTTTGCACTCCAGAGCCCTATGTCTTTGATTATTTCATTGTGGCTTTGAATAGCTTTGCTAACTTGTCCCTCTGATTTCGCCTGAAAAGCAGCATTTTGTGCTTGGACTTTCATTAGCCAGGTTGAAACAGCAACTTAACCCTTTGCATGCTACTTAACCCAGTACCTCTTAAAAACATAGGGGAGGGGTTTACAGGTTTGCCCTAATAGAGACCCTTTCTCCCCAAAATGAGAGAATGGTAGGTTAGCACT